ATTTTTTTTATGAAACCCTAAAAACCTTAGGTCCAAAATATATAATTATTAATTAGTTAATTAATATGTACTATTATTTATAAAAGACTTTATGTGAACAAATTTAAAAATATAAAAATTTAATGAATTTGAATGAACAATTTATTTTAAGAACTTTATTTTTTAATTATCAACAGAGTGTTGATAATTAAAATTTCATTATTATCATTAATCAATGTCATAATATTCACTTTTATATTAATTTTAATTTTCACAAAAAAAAAAAAAAACGCAAAAAAATTTTGACAGATTGACTGGCTAGTACATGTATAAACATAAATGTCATACAAAACAAAACAAGAGAGAAGAGAGAGAAACCACCACATGGCCTTTCTCCCATAATAAAAAATGTGTAGAGTGTGAGTCTGCTAGCATTATTATTCTATCATGTCACACGAGTGTTCTTAATAGAAACCATCAAATTGAAGCTAAATTCAAAACTCCACCACTCAACGAGATCAAAAAATAAAACTAAGAATATTACGTAAGACAAGATCTATTACCCCCTACCCCTGAGTAAGAAATCGTAAGAAATTCTTGACACCCATCCACCTCAAAATACCTTATGTGATTTATGGACGGCCCAAACATATTCGTATTTGTTCAGAGACCCTCTTCAGGTGAAATAACAGGAAATTTTAGCTCTACTGAGGTTCCATATATTCTAAGTTATTTGAATATCCTGTTCTAGGCATTCTAAAATTTATTATTATGTTATTTTTCTTGAAGTTGTGTTAAGCATAAAATACTTAGTATAAAATTCCATTTTCTGTGATGTTTCTATTAATTTTTTATAGAAAATTTGAAAATAAGATGGAATATTGGTTTATATATAAAATTTTGAATATAAATCATCACATTTATCAGAGTAGATTTTAACCTACAAATAAATTAAATTTTATTTGAAACATTGTTTATCTCATATTTTAATATTTGGAATTTATATTCATATTTGGAATAAAAGAAATTGATTCGTGTAATTGTTATTTCTGTGATACATATTCCTGTTTAAAAAAAGTAGATTTTTTAAAAAAATAGGAATAGGTAGGACAAATAATATTAATTTTATTAATTTTTATAAAATTAGTCATCAAATTATCATTAAAACTTATATCTTTAAATTTCTCTTATTATAATCATAAATATTAAGTGTCAAAAAATTTCTTTTAGGTCTATCTTCTTTGATAATATCATCCACTGGTTCAGGAAAATCATTATGTTATCAATTACCAGCTTACATATATGCACAGCATTTCAAATGCTTCACATTAGTGATTTCACCTTTAGTATCATTAATGGAGGATCAGGTATTATTTAGAGATTTCATATATGTATACCAAGATATATGTATACCAAGATTAAAAAATTATCAAATAATAATAATAATAACAATATAAAATAATTAAAAAAGAATATGCTTAGTTTATTGTTTTATTAAATATTTTAAAAATTATTATATAAACTTTTACAAAAATATAAAATGAAAATTTAAAATTTTAATTTTAAAAATAATGATGCTATAAATTATATGTAAGCAAAAATAGTCTATCATCAAAGAAATAAAAACATAGTTACAATATTTTTAGGAAAGAAAGTGTTCATTTATCAATTACTTTATATTTATATTTATAAATATTTATTATACTAAAAATAATTTTTTTTTGAATATTTAACAATTAAATTATAGTAATTTGCAAACTAAATTCTATTTACATTAGTATAAAGAAATTTTCATTTAACTTTTTAGCTTTCTTCACAGACATATGTCTGTGAAGAAAGCTAAAAAGTTAATCTCATCAAAAGTTACACTCATGTCCAAAAAATAAACATAACCATTAATTTGGCTTTTATCTTGGAAACTACTGATCAGAACAGCATGAAACTTAACATAGAATGAAACATTGTATTCTTTATGTAACAGAATAACCAAAAAGCAAAAATTAAATTTAAATTACATTAAACTAAAAGCAGCAAGTAAAAGTACTAAGCATTGTCATAAATTATTTTTCATAAAAAATGATATGTATGGTCTATGGTTGTTTACCATGCACACATTGCACAGTGAAGGCTTATACTGTTTATAATGTTGTTTATCAGCTCTGTTGGGAGCAAAGTCCATCTTGAAGTTTCTAGAGTGTTCTTGGTGGATGCTGATGGATGAAATTTGTCTCTGAAGAGCATTTCACAGATGTTCTATGGTATTTAGATCCAGAGTTCTTGTTGACTATTTCATGTGATGAATAACTTCACTGTCAGAAAGTCTTTGATGAATGCAGCCCTGTGCATGAAGACAATCTGCAAAAGTGAAATCTGCAACCAGAGCACCTCAGAAAACTCACTTGGGGTTCCGAAACCCCATCCCTGTACGTTTTGCAGTTATGACAGCTCATATGAGGAAAATCATTCTATAGACTGTAACTGGACTCATCATTGAACAGAATATTATTCCATTCCTTCAAAGTCCAATGTCAAGGTTCTTGACACTATCTTAAATAATTTTGAACAGACTCTTTGCACAGAGATCAATGGAATGCACTGCATTGTACTAGCCATTTGGCTAAAAGGTTATTTGTCCAAAGCCTCCTGTAGACAGTTTGTCATAAAACACTAACACTTGTGAGTACAGGCAGCTCTATTTAGCTGTCTACCAGACATTTACTGTTACAACATGTTATTAATATCAAATAGTGGTCATGTTGAGAGGTGTAACACTTGACTATGTACTTCTGGTTGGCATTCAACATATTCTGTTCTTTGAAATTTGGTCCAAAACCTAGATGCAGTTCTGTAGCACCACATTCAGGGGTTGGACACATTTGTCTGTGACTAGCCTGATTCTAACCTTTCAATAATTCTTTCTTTTATAGAATTGTCTATGTCACACTGTTGTGACTATGTGCAATAACACAGAAAGGGTTGAGACTAAGAACAATACACTTTATTGTTCATTTGAAATAGATACACAATTCCAAAATTGGCGGGACAATGGTCCAACAACTCTCCGCCACGCACGTGATTCCACTAATTTCCCCTTTCGCTGCTGCTGAGAGGAGCCTTCGTCATCGCATCCCTCACGCACACCTTTGTAGTAGCATCACTATCAGTATCATATAGTAAAATAGTAACAAACTGCTCTTGATGGTTAATCAAGCAGAAATAACATCATGTTATTGCTGTATTTATATACCTTTTATGTTTTGCATAAATTTGTCGTTTTTAATGGAGCATTCAACTACATCTTGAGTATTTGTATGATCTGAAAATATTCACATAAATTTTCTGCTGTTTATTTTGCTTATTTTTTGCTTCATGTATGGATTGGCTGATTAGGGTTATTTTTTGGACCTAAGTGTAGATTCAAAATTAAACTGATGGAGATGTCAACTATAAATATAACATTTCAAAAATTTTTTGTTTAATTATTTCTAGACTAATGCAAAATGTGAAAATTACAACAGATATAAACATTTTGGTATAAAATAGAAATATAATAAGTATATAAGGCTAATTATATATTAGAGAGGTTGTGGTCAAAGTTCAAACATTAAACTTGTATGGCAAACAGAAGTACACATTTGACATTCGAACACATTGCGCTACATGTTCATGTCACACACTGATTCATGGGATATTGTTGAAAAATATCAGAAATGTTTAACAATGACGAATGTTACTAGCAAAGGTAAATAAACAAATTAAACTATTTTAATTTGTATTTATAGGGTGTTTAATAACACTAAATGATTAGGACTACCTCATAGTTTTGTCGAGGGAAGTAGTGGCTTATGTAAATCTAAAAGCAGTTGGGAAAATGTTTTTAGAAAATTTACAAGCATATTATGCTGTTGATGGTAGAAGATGCTGTGAAAGAACAAACCTACTCCTACAGAATTATGATAAGCTATTAAGAACAGAAATATATGTAAATTCTATAGGTACTTCACATCACTTAAAAAATTGAATAATTAAATAATTTCTGGATTAAAATCATCTGTTTATTTACAATATTATTCATAAATGTTTAAATAATCATTATTTTAATAAAATATGTCATAATTTTAACCCCAAACACAAAAAATGAAGAAGTTTAAACTGAACTTCTTCTCGCCATGATAGATGACGTGAACACCATTGTCAACTTTCTAGAATTGCCAGATGGCGGCGCTCGACGTCTAACGTTCACGTTTTGGGCTGAAAATGTCAGCCGCAACCTCTCTGTTATAAGGTTAATTAATATTCTAAGTAAAAATATTCTATGATTATTAAAATGTTACTTAATGCTAAAAAATTTTCTATACATATAATTTAAAAACATGAATATAAATAACATAAATAATTATTATTTTTGTTTTCAAAAGATTAAAAGATTACCACAGTGTATAAAAGCAGTGTGTGTTCATAGTGGAATGAATGTAGTACAACGGCAGGAAGCTTTTGAAGCAATTATAAATGGAGAAGCTCAGATATTATTGTTATCCTCTGAAGCTATTGTTGGATATGAAAACTCCAATAATTTCTTACCTTCAAATCTTCCGCCAATTGCTTTTGCTTGCATTGATGAAGCTCATTGTTTGTCAGAATGGTCTCATAACTTTCGACCTTCTTATCTTCAGTTACGAAAAGTAAAGTTTAATTTAAAAGTTGATGGCTAAATGGTTTTCTTGCTAATTTAAAAGGCTGAAGTTTATTATATTTTAGGTTTTAACAAAGAAACTTGGAGTAAAATGCCTCTTAGCTTTGACTGCAACAGCAACTAAATACACAGCAGTAGATATAGCTCAACATCTAGAAATTGATATCAAAAAAGGAATTATAGGGGAAACTACATTACCAGAAAATTTATTTCTGTCTGTCTCTTGTCCTAAGTATCGTGATGAGGCAAGTTTATTTTTATATTTTTTGCTCTATAATTACAGATTTAAAAATAAACATAAGGATAAAAAATTTTGTTGTAAATAATAGAAAATAAAATAATTAATAATAGAATTTGTAATATTATATGAAAACATTTTAAAAATTATCCATTTGCAATTTTTAATGAGTTATATTATTTTTTTAAAGCTAGAATATAGCTTTGAGTAATATATTTTGTTTAGAGCTGGGCAAATATAACTTTTCTCAAATTTGAATATCAAATTCAAATAATTATTAAACATATCAAATTCTCAAATATACTAAATTCTTAGTGAACTTATTTAGTTAATAATTTGTTTAATATTTATTATTTAACTTGTTTTATTTGTTTCAATATATTAATAAAGTAAAAACAAAAACTAAAAAGAAAAAAAAAAAATTATTAAATTTCAAGAAATGAACTTCAAACTTTTAATTTTGATTTTGAGTTTTAAAGTAGTTAAACTCTCTGTGTATAACAATTGTCTTATATTGTTGTTATATCAATTGGCCTTGATTTTATTTCATTTTGTCTGTTAAACCATTTGAAACTTTATAAATAAAATATTTTTATATACTCTATTTTAATGTTAGAAATTTTTTTTTTTAATTTTAAAAAATTTTGTAAAGTTTTATATTTTAAAATTCTGATTAATATTTGTTATAAATGTTTAACAAATAATGTTTATAAATGATTGAATTCAAATGTTAGAATGTAAATAAGTGTACAGTAACTATAATATCAACATATTCAGTATTAAATAAATATATGTGATTTATTTCTAAATTTACAAAATATGAGAATTGTTTAATTATTTCAATTAATCAATACTAAATCAGCATATTTTCTATGAAGATTTCTAAAGAGTCTGCACTGAGCAGTCCAAAAAGTTACTTGAATTATGAATTTGAATAATTTTGTGTATGATAAATGAATAGTTTGTAGTAAATTTTAAGATTTTCCAAAATTTAATTTTTAGCAGTCATTTTAATTTGTATATATTTATGCTGTTTTAATTTTTAATTTTTCAGGCAATAATTGAATTACTAAAAGATGAAAATTTTGTAAAATGTAATTCAATTATCATTTATTGTACTAGAAGAGAGGATACAGAAAGATTGGCTTCTTTCATACGTACGCAAATGCAATATGTTGAAATATGTCCAGAAAAAGTAGTAGAAAAAAATGGAAAAAGTTTAGTAAATTTTCATAAATATTGGTTTTTGTCTGTATTAAACATAATTATAATAGATATTTTAACTCTTATAGGGAAAAAGAGAATTTTGAACTGGAATGCAGGAGCATATCATGCAGGTTTAACTATGGCTCAAAGAAAAACTATTCAAAATTCTTTCATGTCTGGTAAGAAAAATACTTTCTAATTTAATCAGTAAAAATTTAATTATATCAATAACATCTTGATTTGATGAAAATTAAAAAATTATTGTAGAAATGTTTTTGAAGTAAATTTATTATAAAAATTTACTTATTATTTATCAATACCATGTTTCTATGCAGATAAGAGAATGCTCTTATGTGTGAAAATCAGATATTTTTGCTTTTATATCATGTATCTCTTATAAGAGCATTAAGATATAAGAATATGCTATAATGTGTGCCATAATGTTTTGACTTATAAGAGAACTGCACTGATGTACTGTACCAATGTAAATTATATGTAAAAGTATTGATATAGTAACTATTCAGTGATACCTCTGGTAACCATTGTTAAAAATAAGCCAAAAAAAAACAAGTTGTTTCCAAAACTATAAAAGTTTTTTTTTTTAAATAGTGAGTGCTTTTAGGTATTTTGTGGAATATTTTTTAGAGTGCCTTTTCAGTATGCTCTTATATATGTGAAAATACAGTAAGAATATTTGTTGTTAATTATTTATTTATTTTTTATTACCCTGTTTTTCATGTGACAGTATACTTGTTCTTTTGTAAAATTTATTTTAAAATTTTAAATTATTTATATATTTATTTGTTGCTTTATTTGTTTGTTTAGTTCAATCAATTAATAATAAATTATATCTCTGAAGGTGTAATGTATGAATATATTTTATAAAATTTATTCATATGTTTCATTATTTTTCTTACAACTTACTGAATTATTGGCCAATTAAGTTTACGAGTTTGTCTATATATATCTCCTTACTTGAAACTAAGCATTCATACTTTATAAATTTAATTAAAGTTTGAATTGCAAATTGACATTTTCATTGCTAATAATGATCACTCAGTCAATATATTGACCATTTTTATTCTGAAATAGATGAAAATGACGAGAACTAGATTTTATTGATAGCATAAAAGTATTTCATAAATAAACTGTGGAGAAAAACAAAAATAATCAGAATTTGACATACCATTGAATTCTCTCTCTACATATTTGAAAAACAAAAGGAGGATTTTGGAAAACTTTAATGGACAACAGAATTAAATAGAATAGAAAAGAGAGTGTAAATATGAGTATCCTGCAGATGCTGAAGTACTGTTTAGAGATAAGAATATTCCTGTCAATGGAAAACTTGTTAAAGGAAAAGCTGAATAATTCAGACAACAGTTGGGCCTGCCAGATTCAAAGCAAGCAGCAGGTAACTGATAAATTTAAGAAAGGACATGGAATGGTTTTCAATAAAATCTGTGGTGAAAATGCAAGGTTGTTAAAAAATTTAGCCCGAATATTTTTAACATAGACAAAATAATAATATTTAAAGGTGATTCATGTTATAGAGATAGAAAAAGGTAAAGCACATGAAATTCTAACTGTCATGTTTGCTTCTGAAAGAAATGAAAAACTGCCATTGTTTTAATTATGTTAATATTACTTGTATAGTATATATCAAATAAGAAAGCATGGATGACATCAGAGCTTTCTTCTAGCTAGCTGAAAAAGTTATGACACTTGTAGGATTGCAAAAACAAAATAAAAAAAAAATTATTTTTTTCATCAACAATTGCAGTCCACATTTGATGATTCCCATTCTGAAAGTTATAAAAATTTAACTTTTAAGCAATGGCCAACTATAGTGCCTTAGTAAAGGATTATAAAATGTGGGTGCTGAAAGCTTCCCTAGTCAGCACCATAAGTAACCAATGATTATCTTAATTAAATATGTCCAGAAGGGAAGATCAGACTGGGGACTGTAACTGGCAATGCATCTGCATAATAAGCAGGAGTTGCAGGTTTGAGTCCTGCTCCAGGTTGTTTATTTTCTTCCAGAATATTTGAAATTATTTATTAAATATTAATTTAATTATAATTATTAAATTTAATAAGAGATGGCACCTAAAACCTGCCTCTAGTATCTAGTAACAAATTATTTACAATTTAATTATTAATAGTAGCAAAAAACTATCCCAATAATAAATTTGGCAGTCATTTGGCATGATATATTTAGTGTTAACCCTGGAATAGTGTATGTATACATATATAAACACCCTAAAGTCCGACATTTTAGTAATATGCCAAATTACCTCTGGATTTATTATCAGACTATTTTTTTGCTGCTATTAATAATTAAATTCTAAACAATTTTGGTAGCATAACTGGCAATGATCCACAACTAGACAATGAGAAAAATAAGGTGAAATTTTAAAATAACTATATTGAGTTGTTTATTTAAGAAAAGCATTTAATCTTTTATTTAAAAAATGTAGTAAAAAGTACTGAAATACATTAACACCATTTCTATTTTACCATAAATAAGTGCGTAGTAATTGTAATTAATAAATCATATAATACAGTTGATTCCAGTTATTAGTCCAGTCAGTTAGTAGGACATGCTGCATATTAGGACAAACAGAATCAAATTCTATAATGCAAGCATAATTTACTTTGCCTATTGGCCCTGAAATGCCACTTAGTAGCCCTGCTGGCACAGTATTTTTCTTGGAAAACTAAACAAAAGAGATACGAAATTGAATATTTTTGGCTTTTTCATGTGTGACATCTGTCTGGTTTACTTTATCAGCTGTCAATCATGGGAAGAAAATCTTTTTATTTTCTAGATTGTACTGCAATTAGTTTTTTGTACAGAAATAATTTCTTGTCATTAAAATGGTTTTATTGTGCTCAGATGTTTGTTTTATTTATGCATTAACATAACTCATTATATCATATCTCAATTGCATAACTTATTGGGATGTTTGTTTAGTAGCCTCGAAAAGCTTCGGTTCTGGTTCCGTGTTGTTAAGCAGAATCAACATTATAAACATTGTATAGATTTAATTCCATACATGTCTTCAATTCAACAACTTCATAATTTTTAATAATAATTTTAATTTATTTGATTATCTGCTACTGTTATCATTATAAAAGAATTTATACATTTTCATGTATTGATTTTTTATCAATACAGTTCAGTCAGAGAACTTCACTAATTAAGAAGTATATGAATTCTTTAAATGATTTATCATCTAAACCAGGGGTGGCCAACCTTTTGCATACCATGCGCCAATTTTTTGATAGACGAGTTCAGATGCGCAGTGGCGTACCGTGAGTGTTAGCAGCCCGGGGCGGAGAAAAATTTCGGCCACCCCTCAATTAGGTATTTCAATTTATAAGACGAAAATTCAGATTTGCCACAGAACAAGCAATGAAAAGTGCGGTTGTAGTGTAGCTACCTGTATAAAATAGTTCTATATGACATCAGTGGTGTACATGAACACGAATGCATCGTGTAACGTACAAGCAAAAGAAAGAAAAAAAAAGTCAANTTTTTAATTGATGGTTTTAGCAGAATTATTGCTAAAATTATATTGAATAGAAATCTAAAGATTATTATATACAATAAAAAGATATTATAGATATATTTGTAAAAAGACAATTTAAACAAGGATATGTCATCTTCACCTAAACCAAATCAGAAATATTTAAAAATGCACAACCTTTGATTGCCCTGACAATTAAAGAAAAAAACTTAGTGGCTATAATTTATATGCCTCAATAGATTTTTTAATACATATTGTTAATGTCTGAAAGTGTTATTCAATATAAATACTACAATTATTAATCAGAATGTTTTTTTAATTATTACAATCTTATTTCAACTTCACTTACATAGAATTAATACATTTTTTTCATTCTTAAATTTTCAATGCACTGAAAGTTTAAAAGACATTTGAATAATTGAAGTGATTTTTTAAAAGTCAACATAACACAGTTTTATTTTAAATTACTGTATAAAATAAGCAATAATCTTTTAAGAAATGAATGAAAAATGCCATTACTCTAAAATAGTAGTTTGATCTCAAATGCGGATATTTTTTAATCCATGTAATATATTCATTCTAAACTTTTCTTTCTTGATAAATGATTTTGATTAATGTTTTTAAATATAAGTATAATAGCATATAATATATTAATATAAATATAAACATAAAATATTTACTGAAATTTAATTGAATTCTGTAATTTCAAGAATAATAATATAAGATGATTTATTGTAGGCAAATGATATGAATGAACTTCAACGTCATATTTATGCAAATAGTATAGACAGACATGTAATCCGGAGATTTTTGGCAAAGTTATTTAATCACACAAAAGTTTGCCCATCAAAAAATATATCTCAGGTAATTTTTTTCATTTTTAATTAATATAAAAATTAAATTAATTAAAAAACTTTATGTTAAAATTGAGATAAAAATTTAATATCTAATTTATGCATTTTACACCGAATCCAGGAATATTTTTCATTTTGTGAAATAACAGTTGATGTCTAATTTCATAAAATGAGCAATATTTCTGGATTTGGCATAATGTATATAATAATCTAGTAAACTAGTTTAACAAAAAATTTAAAAATTTTCTAATTACTTTTAGCATGAAAAAATTATTATAAAAAATATTTATGCCAAAACACCAAAACATTTTAAAAATTTATAAAAAAATAAGAAAAAGTCAATGAAAAATAAAGATTGATTTTCTCAAACAGATAACATGAGTTATAACAGAATTTAATTCTTTCTGAGGTTAATCATATATCTTACTTTCATGATTGATTCAATTTGATTTTAATATTTAAATAATAAAATACTCACTTATAATTTTTGTCAGGAAATTTAAGTGAAGAAAAATTAAAATAAGATGTTATTAATATAAAAACTTATTTATTGGTTTATTAAAGAATACAACAGAATATGAAACTCATCCCTGTCTTGGTCATGAAATTGCTATTCCCATAGAACCTATTGTTCAAGATTTAGATATTAAAGAAGAAAGTAAGAATGATTTAAGAAAAATTTTAAAATAATAAATATTCATTTAAGCTATTGTGTTTAATGTAAATTTTGAATTTTTTTTCAGATCTTTTAACACTTTTATGTTATATAGAAATAAATTATCCAGACATTCTAGAAGTTCTATGTCCAATACATGCATACTGTTCAATTAACTGTTACAAGGGCTATAAACAACTTGTTATGGCAGCAAAAAAAGTAAGATTTAGTAAATATGTTATTAAAATAAGTAATATTAGGATAATGATTTAATCTGAGGTGTGAATTTAATTGCATTTATTTTTCATATATTCATCTTGAGCACATTATATCAAAATGTTCTGATTTTCCATAGTGCAAAAAATGAACTTTTAAAAGCAAATTAGTATATTGTTGGCATTTTAATATAGACTTTTAATAGTTTATAAAAATCAGCATAATTTAATAAATTTTATATTGATTAATTCAGTGCTCAAAATGATTTTATTCTCTTGAACATAGTTGTCAATGATTCCATACTATTGATATATAAAAATTCTTGTTTAATGAGGAATTTTTATTATTGTCTAAATTATATTATAACTAATTTTTCAAACAGAATATTATCTTGTATTTTTATAATTCTGTAGTGAGCTAATGAATTTCAAGTGGTGAATTGAAGTTTGAGAGTTCCAGATTTGAATGTTCAGATCCTCTGAAATTTTCTGTAAATAATTAGTCCTGCCTGACTGAACTTGTAATATATGTTAAAAAAGAAATGATCCTAAAAGCGTAATCTTTTCTTTCAGATTTTGATCACAAGGAAATAGCCTTTGAAAATATTTACTAAATATTAAATATTTTGACTTTTAGGAAGAAACCTGAAACTTTTACATTTCTTTCAAAGTTAAATAAAAACAATGTGTAAACATGTAATTAACATGTAAAAAAGTAGTATGAATTGTTAGGTTTGCAACATAGAATAACTAGACAGATAGAAAAAGTACCATAAGTTGTAACAAAACTCTGAAGTATAGTTCAACAAAGGACAATCCTTGATTTATGGCATTAGTAAATAGAAGAAAAAATAATAATAAATCACCTTGTAACTCCAGCAGTAGATTTAATAAATCATAACATTTTCGACCTAATGCAATAGGCCTTCCCCAGTGAATTGCACCATTTAAAATAAAAGAGCAAGAATATCAAATTCAACGGAAATTCATGCTTAGTTAATGAAGAGACTGTCCAAGAAAAAAAATTTTTTTTTGATAGACACCATTTATTTACTTCACTTGTTCCAGAACAAACTTTTTGACAATCTGACCTTTTTTTTAGGCTAGTTGGCCGTCAAGGAAATTCATTTATTTTAAATGGTATAATTCACTGAGAAAGGACTATGTATGAGGTCAAAAATGTTATGATTTATTAAATCTACTGCTGGAGATACATGGTGATCTGTTTTATTACTGTTTCTTATTTTCCAGTTAGATCTTATTGATTTAGAAGAAAAAATGATGAACTTTAAAAACTGGATGATGGATTTGTAAATTTTTTCATAATGTAGACATATTAATTAATTAACAATTATATCATGAAAAAATACAAATTTTCAGATAATTAGAGATTATTGGTTTCATATCATTCTTTCAATGCAGTGACAATAAATCTCAGCTTTTCTTAATTTCAGTTATCATATGGTTTTTTTCCAAAATTCATAATGAATAAATATGAAATGAATATCTGTTTTATAATTAATTTAAGACATAATCTGTGTTTCATGTTTCTTCAGTATCATGCAAAAAAAATATGTAAAACATTTGTTTTGCATAAACTGAGAAGAATACTGACATGCTTTTTATTTACGATACTATCAATGTTAAAAATGTGTGTTTTAAACTGTTATAAATTTTTTTTATCAGTAATTATTAATTAATAATTGTGCTAAAAAGATTTATAACAGTAACAGTATCATAAATAAAAAGCATGTCAGTATTCTTCTCAGTTTATTCAAAACAAACATTTTACATAATATTTTTTTTGCATGATACTGAAGAAACATAAAATACAGATTATGTCTTGAAATGAATATTTGTTTTATAATTAATTTATGCTTTTGATTCTGCAGACAAAAAAGCATATTTGGCATTTTAATATTCATTTAAACATTTTATAAAACAACAATTCTTTAATTCTTTTTATGCAATAAATATCATAAAAGCATTAGTAAATGTGTAGTATCAACAAGGATGCTGCAGATTTGTATGGTATTTACAGCAATTGTTAAGTCAGGTTTTTATAATAATAATAATAATAATGTAATTTGTGAATATTTGTTTTACAATAAATAATAATAATGGTAAAAATAAAGTTGTATTAAATGATATAGATAATGAAAATAAAACAAAGTATAAATTTAATAGTCAATTTTTTGGGTTAACTAGAGTTAGTTTTTCAATTGTCATCGAGAAAAAATTAAATCCACACTACGGATAGAAAACATTAAGGATTGAACTGATATTTCATTTTTGAGCATTCTCAAATAAAAACTGAAGCTGAATCTAAAGTAGGTTGAAAACATTTCTATTTCAATAAACAAATTTGGTTTCTAGAAAGAAAAGCAATTTATTTTCTGTTTTATAAAATGGTGCTAGTTTTTACAGAATTTGTCAAAACATTAAGGAACTTTGATAATTATTATATATTAATTTGCTTTATGACAATTGCAATTATCAAATACCAGACTTTAATTTTCATCATTATGATGATTATGATGAACTATAAAATCAGTTTTTATTTATTATATATTTTATGTAATTTATTATAGCTGATTGATTTTACATCACTATAGTAATTAGCATATTGACATTTTTCAAAGTGATTTTTGTAAACATCATTGGGGCTAGTCTGCGTGGATGTGTCAAGACTCCATTCTTCTCCAGCCAGCTACCCTATTGTGGGCCTGGCAAACTCTATAATAAGCTTGCTAAAAAAAGATTGTCTTAGTGCCCACAGTGCAGAAAGAGTTTAAAAAACAAAATCAAATAGTGTAATACTATGCTTTGACAAGAAAAATTATGTCATGAATTCTTTTTGTGGTGTTATATACACACATATATGTATGCAATTTTATTGAAACTTTTAAAATATTACTATTTGTTACTTTGAACTTTATTATTTAAGTGATAAAATTTTCTTATTATTAACATTTATCTCACAATATTCATTGATTATGTGTATGTGATAACTGAAATTTTTCAAGAATGATATTTGAATCTAGTGTTTTCCATTGTTATTTAATAGTAATCTCAACCTGGTAATTCATTTTTATGGTACCTCTATTTCTTTATCAATGTAGTTATTGTGTTTTTTTTTTTTTTTTGTAGTTTTAGTAATACAAGTAAGAAGTGTTATGGCACTGTTCAGCACTACTTTAAGGAATCTCTAAAGCCCTGATTGAAAACAATGTAATTGACAACCCCAGAAGTACTATGTTGCAGCAACCCAGTTGAAAACCAATGTTTCATCCCTTAAAGCAAGCAGTACAATATACAGTACTAATAAATAACACCAACAAAACATTCAAAATTAAACCAGCAATTATATTTTAATATAAATATGCTATGACAAGTACTTTCAATCCTAACTGGGATTGCTTCATAGCATATTTATATTAAAATATAATTGCTGGTTTAATTTTGAAGGTTTTGTTGATGTTATTTACTAATATATAACCAGCTGTGGGATGATTTAAATACAGTACTAAATAATCTTATCTATATATTGCATTTTAAATTTAATTATTTATTACACAATTATATGAGTCAAACATTGAGTAAATTTATTATTATAATTAAGATATATATCACATGAAATATTAATATAAACTTTATAATAATTTGTATGAATGCACTCATTTTAAATTTTAAGATTTTAAACATTAAAATATTATTTTTATTTTAGTGTGCTCCATTAGCTGCAGCATTGGCATTAAATCAAATTGATATTAACAAAGACAAATTAAATCAAGTTAAATTTTCTGTAATAGAAATTGCTGCTGAAATGGATTGGGATTCCAAACTCATAATAAAAGCATTAAAAAAATTAGAATGGGATAATGAAAATTCAGGTAAAATTAAAAGTTACTCTGATTAAATATTAATATAATTGATAATATAAAATTGTTGTTGAATAAGTAAACTCCATAAATTTTTACAAAGGGTATTTTTAAATAAGGTCCATTTTTTGATAAGAAGAAAAATACTGTAAATATTGTTGAAATATATTTTTCCCATATTCTACATATTTTTATTTAGTTCTTTACATAATTTCCATTTTTGTTCAAACATTTGTCATACCACTCAAAAATTTTTAAAATTCCATCTTCAAAGAAATCTGCTGCCGGAAGACATTAGGCCACGCCACTTGTCTTGTATGGCACAGCGGAGTTTTCTCAAGGTCACACAATAAGCATCAGAATTGATTGTTGTGCCTCTTGGCATAAAATGCACTAACAAAGTCCCTTTCCTGTCCCAAAAGACAGTTACCACGATCTTTCATGCTGAAATCAAATAACAGATCGTATCTTACAGTTGGCAGGTGACTCAATTTTCTTAAACATTATAAACTTCTACAGATTAGCACACAGAAAGACGATACAGCTGCAAATGGCATCTAAACATGTGCAAAGCATGCTAAAAGTAGATGCTCATGCACACTGCTGCAATCACACATCATTCTCACTCTCATTCACAAACGAACCTTATTTAAAAAATAACCCTTGTATTTTAGTGAATTATCAATGTCAAAAATAACTTTCAAGTTATTAAATTTCAAAAAATAAATGTTTATATGTTGTATTATTCCAATACTTTTTAATATAGTTAAAGAAAACATTTTAAGGTTTTCACTTGAAATTTTTATAAAATTTAAAAAATAATTATAAAGTTTTTGATGTAAAATTGTTTCAAAATCATACAATTAAGTTATAATCAATGATTATTTTTTAATTATTTTTAGAAAAGAATAATAAAAAGACTGGAATAATAGTGAAATTTTCTGATTTGTCCTTCCATATAAGAATAAAATGTAATTTAAATGAAAGTAAAAAGGATGAACTATTGGAATTTTTATATAATAAAGTCATAGAACAAGAAAGATATGAATTAAATAAATTACAAAAACTTCACTCTTTGTTTAACAGGTATGTTAAATTTTATTGTATTAAGAAGATATTAAAATATTAGGAAATTTATGGCATATGAGACACAACTTTTATCCAGAAAAATCTCCATATTTTATGTCTTAAGTTGTGATCTTCCATAGGCCAAAGATGCAGAATATGTCTGATTGCACAAATATGGTTCAAGGAAATTAAAGTAGTCCTGGAGAAATTTGTGATAGAAAAAATAATCTAAAAATTAAGTAGCACTTTGGCTAAGCCATAGACAATAATTCAGGAAATTTGCCAAACTGTAGGGAGATCCTGCTTTTTAAAAGTGAAATATATTTACTTTGTTTCTGATCAGTTCAGTCACTTGTTACACTGCTGCTTGCTTATATGGTTATATACTTGCAGTAAGGCCTAGTTGATCTTGGTTTTGAGTTTTAAGAAAAACAAAACCAAACAGAACTTTAAAAATAATTGAAAAAGAAAATCAACTTTTATTTCAAACTCTTTTTGACACTATTTATTGGATGAAATTTTGTGTTGGCTTGAATTAAAATGAAATAGTCACTCGTTCTTCTCCCATATGGGAAATGTGAAAATTAATAAACTGCATTTAAAACTTTTTCTGAATTGTCTGAGTTAATTAGCTAAATAGAAGTTTTATCATAATTTTATAAACATTACTTTTCATATTTTTTGTTGATTTGTTAGAAAATAAAAAATATTTACTTGAAAATATATTCTAAAATATCAAGGTGGCATTTTCAAAAAATAATAAAAAAATAATGGAAAAGCCAGATAAAGTCAAAAACTTTATCTGACAAAAGTTTTTTTCCATAAAATTGGTTCATTTCTTTAATAATTTTTTTATAAAAAAATTGCATGATGATCATAAATAAATTTTGTGTTTTTGGATGTCAAAAAGTCTGTTATTAAAGCATCCTGTGCTAAAAATAGGTCATTCATAGATGACTTCAATTTTATTTCTGTTAATCAATGCTATCGTATCAATGCAATGTATATGCCATCCTATGATAATGGCATGTGCTTAAATGAAAAAAAACACTGTTAATTTATCAGTTTTGTATTGCACAACAAATTATACAGTATGCCTATTTAATTTGAATTTTCCAGACTGTGTAGTATTAAGTTTTAATTGATGCATAAATTTTTTTTGTATGTTTGAAGGAATTTTGGGTCCTGAAAATATTCTGTAATCCTGCAGTTAACCTCTACCTAGTCTCACTCCTAAATAAAATAATATTGTGTAATTAAACATACTTTTACTACAGCTAAACAATCTTTGCATGTATTTGTGTTGAATATTTTAATGGTAAATTTTAACTGTAAAAAACTTCTCTTAAACTCCTATTTTCTCCCTGATAAATAAGTTTGCATTCTAATCATATTTCGAAACCGTGTTGTATCTTTATATTAGTTTTTCAAAACTGCAATGCAGCGTAATAATCAACACTTGGCATAACTCATTCATTTATTTCAGTTTTTGTTGAGAGGAAGATGTAAGAGAAAGATGAAGATTAGACTAAAAGAACATGTGGCAGATTTAAAACATCATAGAATCAACTCAGCCTTTCTAGAACATTGTACGTTAAATAACTGTAATATTGACCAAAATAATGTAAAGATCCTACATAAAGAAAAANGACGATACAGCTGCAAATGGCATCTAAACATGTGCAAAGCATGCTAAAAGTAGATGCTCATGCACACTGCTGCAATCACACATCATTCTCACTCTCATTCACAAACGAACCTTATTTAAAAAATAACCCTTGTATTTTAGTGAATTATCAATGTCAAAAATAACTTTCAAGTTATTAAATTTCAAAAAATAAATGTTTATATGTTGTATTATTCCAATACTTTTTAATATAGTTAAAGAAAACATTTTAAGGTTTTCACTTGAAATTTTTATAAAATTTAAAAAATAATTATAAAGTTTTTGATGTAAAATTGTTTCAAAATCATACAATTAAGTTATAATCAATGATTATTTTTTAATTATTTTTAGAAAAGAATAATAAAAAGACTGGAATAATAGTGAAATTTTCTGATTTGTCCTTCCATATAAGAATAAAATGTAATTTAAATGAAAGTAAAAAGGATGAACTATTGGAATTTTTATATAATAAAGTCATAGAACAAGAAAGATATGAATTAAATAAATTACAAAAACTTCACTCTTTGTTTAACAGGTATGTTAAATTTTATTGTATTAAGAAGATATTAAAATATTAGGAAATTTATGGCATATGAGACACAACTTTTATCCAGAAAAATCTCCATATTTTATGTCTTAAGTTGTGATCTTCCATAGGCCAAAGATGCAGAATATGTCTGATTGCACAAATATGGTTCAAGGAAATTAAAGTAGTCCTGGAGAAATTTGTGATAGAAAAAATAATCTAAAAATTAAGTAGCACTTTGGCTAAGCCATAGACAATAATTCAGGAAATTTGCCAAACTGTAGGGAGATCCTGCTTTTTAAAAGTGAAATATATTTACTTTGTTTCTGATCAGTTCAGTCACTTGTTACACTGCTGCTTGCTTATATGGTTATATACTTGCAGTAAGGCCTAGTTGATCTTGGTTTTGAGTTTTAAGAAAAACAAAACCAAACAGAACTTTAAAAATAATTGAAAAAGAAAATCAACTTTTATTTCAAACTCTTTTTGACACTATTTATTGGATGAAATTTTGTGTTGGCTTGAATTAAAATGAAATAGTCACTCGTTCTTCTCCCATATGGGAAATGTGAAAATTAATAAACTGCATTTAAAACTTTTTCTGAATTGTCTGAGTTAATTAGCTAAATAGAAGTTTTATCATAATTTTATAAACATTACTTTTCATATTTTTTGTTGATTTGTTAGAAAATAAAAAATATTTACTTGAAAATATATTCTAAAATATCAAGGTGGCATTTTCAAAAAATAATAAAAAAATAATGGAAAAGCCAGATAAAGTCAAAAACTTTATCTGACAAAAGTTTTTTTCCATAAAATTGGTTCATTTCTTTAATAATTTTTTTATAAAAAAATTGCATGATGATCATAAATAAATTTTGTGTTTTTGGATGTCAAAAAGTCTGTTATTAAAGCATCCTGTGCTAAAAATAGGTCATTCATAGATGACTTCAATTTTATTTCTGTTAATCAATGCTATCGTATCAATGCAATGTATATGCCATCCTATGATAATGGCATGTGCTTAAATGAAAAAAAACACTGTTAATTTATCAGTTTTGTATTGCACAACAAATTATACAGTATGCCTATTTAATTTGAATTTTCCAGACTGTGTAGTATTAAGTTTTAATTGATGCATAAATTTTTTTTGTATGTTTGAAGGAATTTTGGGTCCTGAAAATATTCTGTAATCCTGCAGTTAACCTCTACCTAGTCTCACTCCTAAATAAAATAATATTGTGTAATTAAACATACTTTTACTACAGCTAAACAATCTTTGCATGTATTTGTGTTGAATATTTTAATGGTAAATTTTAACTGTAAAAAACTTCTCTTAAACTCCTATTTTCTCCCTGATAAATAAGTTTGCATTCTAATCATATTTCGAAACCGTGTTGTATCTTTATATTAGTTTTTCAAAACTGCAATGCAGCGTAATAATCAACACTTGGCATAACTCATTCATTTATTTCAGTTTTTGTTGAATGAGTTATGACAAGTGTTGATTATTACGCTGCAATGCAGCGTAATAATCAACACTTACACTTACTTAATCACAACACTTACTTAATCACAACAAGTTATGACAAACACTTGTCATAACTTGTCATGAGTTATGACAAGTGTTGATTATTACGCTGCATTGACAAATGAATGAGTTATGCCAAGTGTTGATTATTACGCTGCATTGCAGTTTTGAAAAACTAACTTGCATTCTAATTTTACCTTTTCAAACCAAAATACAGTAAAAAAAATTTGGGGCCCAATGCCAAAGATGTGGGATGGTTTAAATACATTAAACACCTTTTTCCTAAATATTCTGTTCTGAAATGGAGATGTCTTATATGTCATAAAATTCAGTAGTATTTTAAATAAAATATTTTAATTTATTATTTCAAATGTGTTGTTCAATTTATAATTACTTTGCATTATATCAATAACAGAAATGTATTATTTTTAGTGTGTCTTTTCCAACTATAACATTTAATTCAGAACAGAGTACTGAATTAAAAACTCATTTATGCAAGTATTTTAAATCTGAAACAAAGATGGAAATTGATTCATTAAATAAAGGCAACAATATTCAAATGGTAAGAATAATTATAGGTGTTTTTAAGTTTCAGGAAAAACTTAAAATATAAAATTGAATATTTTTAAAGGAATCTGAAACGTTGGATGAAATTCGGAACACCATCAGCAATCTTGTCTGCACTTATCAAGATCAGAACTTTACCGGAAGAGCAGTAGCACGAATATTACACGGAATAGGAAGTCCACGTTTTCCTTCAGAAATATGGAGTAGAGTGCACAAATTTTGGAGATGCTATCTTAATGTTGATTTTAATTATTTAATTCAGATTGCAAATCAAGAAATATTAAGATTAAGATGATTTTATATAATAAAAATTTTACCTATATATAATTTATGAAAATTTTAATAAATAAACCCAAGAGACGACCTTCTAGAAGTATCAAATTCTTTTTAATTTTTGATTTCTCAAAAATAATTAGTGCTCATTGTTAGAATGTTTTTAAGAATTAGCATCAAGATTATAAAAACACAATTACACATTTTACAGCTGTGAACAACAAATGAAGATAGTAAGTTAATTTTTTTGTCATATATTAAAAAATTAAGAAAATGTATTTTGTCATTAATTGTTAGATGTTCTATTTCATTCTATGATGATTAATGTGCACAGGCACACTAAACATCTAAGAATGTTCTAATCATGACATATCCTTACTCAAAATTATTGTTATTAAATATAAAAACTAAAAGAAGTGATTTTGTTTTGACATTAAGGTTTTTTTATTCTTTGTAATAAAATCTGTGCACAATTCTTAGCTATTTAGTTGCAGATTCTTGTTTTCTTATTTCACTTCTATATCTTTATCCATTGCATATTCTGCTGATGCTGTCATTATATGGCTTTTGATTAATACTTTCTAGAATGCTTCTGATATATTAGTAGTGGTTTGGGAAGCTTTGATCACAAAATTAATTTTTGAAGGGCAAGATTAAAAAGTGATGCTGGAAAATTTGAAATAGTCATGTTACCTTTAGACATCACTATTGCAAGAGATCTTTAAGAAGAGGTAGACACCATTAATGAAATAAAATCATGCAAACATGAGGCTGAAAAAGCTTTCATGGGCAACGGAATACCCAAGTTTTCATTTTCTTGGATAGTCAAATGACCATCTCAGAATACAAAAGGGATGAACTTGGAGTTGGGGCAGAGGACAGAGACCTTCACCCAACAAGTAATCATGTCATGTTTTTCACTCAGATATTAAAACAAATTTTTATTTTAAAAATTATCAGTGCAACTTAATTTTATAATAATATTTTATCAAATTTATTATTATAAAATTAAGTTGCACTTATAATTTGGGTATTCCATTGCTCATGAAAGCTTTTTCAGTCTCATGTTTGAGTGATTTTGTTATTTCATTAATGGTATCTACCTCTTCTTAAAGATCTCTTGCAATGGTGATGTCTAAAGGTAACATGACTATTTCAAATTTTCCAGCATTACTTTTTAATCTTGCCCTTCAAAAGTTAATTTTGTTATCATGTACATTTCTGATTAAGAAAAATGAGATAAATTGAAAGAATCGTTCTGTTCCCTCACTTGATTTCTTTTGATGATTTTGTCACTTTATTAACAGCATTTTTTAAAAATCAACTTTGGAAGATTTCATTATGATTGATAGAAAATTTATAGACAAATATTCATTTTTATGAACATCATTTCATTTAGAAAATAGTTGAATTTTTTCTAATGATAATATTGAGAATTTTTTAAAATTGTTTCTTTCTCACGATATAAGTAAACTTGATAAATATCCAAAAAATTTAGAAAAGATTTTATAAGTTTTGAGGAGGAAATAATTATATATATATATATACANTTCAGACACTGATCATAATCGCCCCTGATCCATGGAGTTATATCTAACATACCAGCTGAAGGTTTTCCCATAGAATCCAGCACTGTAATAAAATATTGTTAATTAAATCCTAAATATATAAATTTCTTAAATATTATTATACATCTTATAATATTATTTTATACATAACTATATTTATCGGAAATAAACTCTGACATTTCTGAAATCTCAGAAATTTCATTTTTCATGTTAAATTTATTTGTATATATTGTTTTGCATTTGCCAATTGCATAAAATTAGTGAACACTGTTGGTATGATTGATGAGCAGGAAATGTAGTTTTTTTGGAATACTTCAAACTAGCAACTAAATAGTCAAGTAGTAGTAGTGGTTTGGGAAGCTTTGATCACAAAATTAAGATTTGTCTTAATATTATTATAAAATTAAGTTGTACTAAATTGTAGTAATAATTTTTTAAAATAAAAATTTGTTGAGTAAATTAAAACATGACAATTTGAAATAATATTTTATCAAATTTATTATTATAAAATTAAGTTGCACTTATAATTTGGGTATTCCATTGCTCATGAAAGCTTTTTCAGTCTCATGTTTGAGTGATTTTGTTATTTCATTAATGGTATCTACCTCTTCTTAAAGATCTCTTGCAATGGTGATGTCTAAAGGTAACATGACTATTTCAAATTTTCCAGCATTACTTTTTAATCTTGCCCTTCAAAAGTTAATTTTGTTATCATGTACATTTCTGATTAAGAAAAATGAGATAAATTGAAAGAATCGTTCTGTTCCCTCACTTGATTTCTTTTGATGATTTTGTCACTTTATTAACAGCATTTTTTAAAAATCAACTTTGGAAGATTTCATTATGATTGATAGAAAATTTATAGACAAATATTCATTTTTATGAACATCATTTCATTTAGAAAATAGTTGAATTTTTTCTAATGATAATATTGAGAATTTTTTAAAATTGTTTCTTTCTCACGATATAAGTAAACTTGATAAATATCCAAAAAATTTAGAAAAGATTTTATAAGTTTTGAGGAGGAAATAATTATATATATATATATAACTTATAAAAAATACCTCCATCTTTATGAAATAGGTATGTATGTATTGACATTATATTATAATTTTCATTGTTTTCTAAATAAATAAGAACAAACCATTTTACTTTTTCATAATAAATTCCTTTCAAGTTAAAAGAATTTATTAAAAAATATACCAAAACCAAGCATATTTTTTGAGAAAATATATATTTAAAAAGACAAAAGCAATTGGTTGTCAACAGATCTTTCTTTGTTGGCAACTACCAGAATCTGAAGGTTGGTATCTTCCTAAACTGTGTGATATCTGCATACATTGATTTCCACATCCTGTAAAGCAAAGAGAAAAGCTTCATTTAAAATGGGCCAAGCAGCACAATAATCAAATAAAATGATTTTAGAGAATATTTCCAGTTAACATATCTTGCTGTCTTAAGTATATTTTTTTAACATATAGGAAAATATTTAAAGAAATTTTAGATAATTAGTTTGTCTATCACCACATAAAACTAAAATTAGCAAAGAAGCAAGTATTGCTGTTCTCAACTGATGTTGCATTCTTGATCATAATGTGGTAGAGAATAATCACACCAACTATTCTATTTATCAGAATGACAAAAGAGTTCTAGCTGTAAGCCAAGTTTTGCAGTAATATATTTCAGACAGGGATGTAAATGATTACAGTTGAGCAGCATTACCTGGTATGCAATTTAATCACAAAATGCCTTAAAATCACTACCCAGAATCCTCTAAAAATGCTTGCCCAACAATACATTCAAAGATATATACAGCACAACTGACAGAGGTTTTCCTTAATTTCTGTATGCCAAAACTCATCAAAGAATAAAATATAATTATGTGAAGAATAGAGATAGAAAAATTAACATGAAAATTTATGTAATGTAATTATTTTTAAATCTGTTTCTGAATGCCAGTTAGTAGGCTGAAATTTTTCATACTAGATATTAGGTGGTATTAAAGGTGTGATGCCATGTGTACATCTTGATTTTGAAGTGTTTTGGTGATAAGCCTTTTTCCTTGGGGTAGTAGTGCTGGCATGCTGATCTAGGGAGCAACTTTGTACTGTACAGTATATCACTCAGTCACCCTAAATAGTGGTGTGAGGGCCATAATGGCAAAATAGTATGTTTAGGAAATCCTGCACTTTCGTATTGTCTTTTGTGACAGGGCTGTAAACAGTCATTTTCCAGCAAGATAATGTTTGGCCACACAGCTACAGTTTCCCACGAATATCTCTGTCATATTGCCACACTTGTCCTGTGGTCTACAGATTTTTTTTTATATCAAGAATTTACAGAACTGATGAAACTACAGTCTTTGGCCATCTATGAATTGAATGATCTGGTGCAATAGTGCAATATTTGTTTGGAAATCTGTTGCAGGATATGATGCCTGTATGCTTCTATGCATCCAGACAAGAAGTCCTGTAAGGCACTAAAAATTTCTTTAATCATTATATCACTGTTTCACAGGAAATTGTCTTTTTGCCATGATATTGTAATCATTTATTACCATTGTTATTATGTTTGCATTAATAAAGTTTGATTAATTTGATTCCTAGGCCTCCTCCTTGGTGCATAATTTTTCTGTCAATGAGTGTAATTGCAATAATTGATTGTACTAAATTGCAACTAATCACTTGATTTTAATCAAGTGATTAGTTGCAATTTATTTATTTAATCTTATCAAAGTATATGATTTAAAGTTAATTATATTTGATTCGTATAAGTCAGACTAATATGCTGAACTGAAAATTTATGGACAAATGAATTTGTGGAATGAGGCAATGGAACATATGGACAATCTGCCAAATAGAGTTGGCCTCTTAAGAACACTTTATGGGAAACTGACCCCTATTGCCAAGTTCAGGGGATGCCTTTGGGAGACTTCTATGGGAAACTGGCTCCTATTTAGATGTTACAAATGTGAAGAAACCCCAGAAAATTCCAGTACTCAGCCTATTGGTGGAATGCAAATTGTGACCAACTACTAGTGTGTTATTCATTTGTGCTTTATGGGCAAGGACCAATATACATATCTGCCAATTGGATTGTAGGAGTTACAATGCAATGGTACAATATTTAAAATGAGAATTTGCATTTTCTTTAAAAATGTGTATATCCAAGTCACAGATTGCCATACATGACACATCACAGACTATAGGGGATCAGATAGAATATCTCAAAGAACTGACTTATTTGATATCTCTAAAGTAACAATATGATTTTGTAGGCTACTAGTTGGACAACAGTCTTTAGGAACTCAACAGCATCTCACAGGCAATCTTAAATTTGAGATTCTATCCTCATGAATTTTGATTGTTGAGTACAATGACTGAAAAAAACTACACAAATGAATAAGATTATACCGATAGTATAATAACAATGTACATATTTTGTAAAGAATATATTATTTTTCCAGAATATGTTTTAAAATCAGTGGTCACAATTGATTTGTGACAGTGATTTGTAAAATCACAGTCACAATTGATTTGACAAAGGAGCACTGTATTTTGAATCTAAGCAAAAATTTGTCATTACTTCTGGTATAGAGTGCAAATTCCAGAAAATCAACCTAAAATAATTTACATGTAATTTGTGAATTAGTAAATTAACATATAATAATAATTATATTGTTCTATAATTCTAATTTATACAGTGGTATCTCATACTTAAAACGCTAAAGGTGCCATCAGTGGCCTAGTGGATAAAACCACTAAACACTGGCAGTTTGTCATGGGTTCGTGCCTGGCCAACGGGCTGGCCACGTGGAGTTTTCTGGGTTTTATTCATGTTAGTAACACCTAAATAGGGGTCCTTTTCCCTCTGCAGATCACACATGTTTTGTGTTGCCATAACAAAAAAAATTAAAAAACCTAAACCTTGAATGCTAAATTTCACAAAATTTTCTTTGGACTTCGAACGATGCTTCAAAGTTCGAACTGTGAGCTCTGAAAAGAAGCGTAAATGTAATTTGTATTTCGCTCTCGCGTTACGCTCTTATGTTTTCATTGCTTTTCGCTTTATTTTTGGTTTGGTTTGGTTTGGTTACATATATTATGTGTTATTCCTTCATTTTTAACAATTTCTTCCTGTAATTTTTCATCGACTGCTTTTGGGTGCATCCTACGTTTCGTATCCTTTGGTTCAAAATTTCTTGAAAGTAATTTTTAAACCACATTTGATATGTTCGAAGTTAAAAGTATTACAAATTTTTATTGTTTGTACAGCGTCGTATAAATATGCCTAATACGCATTTGGATATTTTATATCTGAAGACACTTCAATTTGATTTTATTCAAACAATTGAGATGGGGGAAAACTTATTGCGAAGTGTGAAGTACACTGACAGATCTGGCAGCCATGTTGAAGATGTCAACAGTGTGCAACCAGTAAATGCAATTTTAATTTTATTATGCAGTATTTATGTATTTTATTTATTGTTTTCATGTGTTAATTTGTTCTTAGGGCATTTAATTGTGTGATTTTTACCTTAAATTATGTATATTTACTGTTTTAAGATTATCGAAATGGGTTATTGCTCAGGATCTACTAATGGATTAATTCAATTTCCATTACTTCTAATGGGGAAAATTGATTCGGAGTTTGAATGTCCTCCTGGAATAAATTGAATTGGAAGTATGAGGCACATAATTATTGTATTTTCAATTCGTTTAAAATTTAATTGAAAGCAATTTCATTTCTCTTTTTTGTCTGACGCTGTGCCTTGTAGACACTACGAGTAATCAGGCAATGAAAATTTCCGAGCCAATTAGTACTGGAACCAGTGTCCCCCTAAACTGCAGATGCTTTTGTTTTCTAAGATATGTATTTATTCTGTTAATATAAATAAAAAATTCTAATATAAAATAAAAATATTTATTCTTAACACAGCCTTTACATGTAAAGAATCTGTATGTATTATATATAAAATAAAAAATGTTAATTCACTTTAGTTTGTAAAGTTACATATTCACCATTAATATGTTTCAGCGACCAGTTCATTAGAGGTGAAGATTCCAAACAATTAGCAGTCTCTTCTTCTGAAGTGGTATCAACTGTTGTAGGAATAGGAATAGGTAAAGGATTCTGATCTTGTTTAATCCAAACATGTGGTGGTGGTGATTGTAATTGATTAAGATCTGGAAATGCTAACTCAGAAGAACTAACATCAGCCACTTCTACACTTGCCAAAGGTGCATCCAAGCATGGTGAGATTAAATTTGGTTTATTAGCCAAGATTTCTACTATCTGGCTGGCCATTGGCCTTTGTTGTGGATTTTGATACCAGCATTGCAACATCAACATTTTTCTACATAAAACAAAATTACAAATGAATTTTAACCCAGAAAAATTAATATGACAAAAATTATACTTACAATTCTGGTTTGCATTGTTTTGGAACAGAAAGTGTTTTTCCATTTATAATATGTTCATAGACTTGATTATTTGACAGTCCTTGAAACGGGAAGCTTCCAAAAGTGACCATTTCATAAAGCAAAACACCATAACTCCATATATCTGTCATTAGTGAAAATATTCCTTTTGACAGACTTTCAGGTGCCATCCACCTGATTGGCATCTTACCTTAAAGAAACAAGAGTGTAACTTTTAAATGTGAAATTGGAATAAATATTATAAAAACATTCAGTATACCTTTAAATTTATAACAGTCGCAGTCAAACACAGGTTTGCAAAGGCCAAAATCTCCAATTTTGACAACTCTTCTGGCATTTACTAAACAGTTTCGACAAGCCAAATCACGGTGAACATATTTCATTTCTGCAAGATAGCTAAGTCCTCGAGCGATATCTAAAGCCATATTTGTTAAACAGAAGCTAGAAACTTCTTCGTTGGTTTCATTTTCTTTTACGAGATTTCTTCGACTAAGAAGATATGTTTTCAAATTACCTGTGAAATATGACTGTTCATAAATTCCAGAGAACATTTATTCAAATTTATGAAAAATCAATACGTACCATATAACATAAACTCCATAATCATGTATACAGGTTCTCCTTTGGTGCAAACACCAAGCAAATTAACAATGTTATGATGATTGAATCGCTTCATCATATCTGCTTCACTCAAAAAATCCAACTAATAATAATTATAAAGTAAAAGTCATTGTAATAAATATATTTTAAATTTATATTAAGCATGAATTTAATAAATTTTGTAGAAAAGATTAAACTGTCAATGCGATTGAGGCAGTTAAGCATTAGCCCATTGCTGATACTGCGGGACCTGGGAGTGAATCCGAGCAGGTGAAAAACCCAAGGGATTTTTTAGTGGCACTCTTCCCCAGATATGTTGGGTCCCATCCCTCACCACTTGATTGCATCTATTGTGGGCTTGATTAAACTCTCCAAAAGTGTGATAGAAAATACTTGTAAAAAACCTTCTAAATTGCCATGAGTTTGAAAAAACGTGTAAACAACACAATAACTGCAACTACTGTACCAATCAGATATTTTATTTAAATTAAAATTCCGGAGAGTTTATGAAAATACTTTACGAAGACCTCATTCGAATTGAACAGTTTGACGAATTGAGTTAACTGGTTTGATTTAACGTGTAAGTCCCTATCTCTGTACGATACATTTGCCGATAACTGTGTACAAGTATATGGCTTAATTAATACACGTCTTCAGTTTCTTAAAATAATATACGCTTCACTTGTATGGGAGCAGCCATCTTTGATTAATCAGCGTTATCCACTACCAAATGGGATACACTAAACATGTCCCGAAGTAGCGCTTTTATTGAGGGTGTATGGCAGGAAAATACTCAACCGCTACGAAATCGTTTAGTCTGATGAATGCAGCTGTTAGATATGTATAAACTGTAAAATTCGATGTTTTATTAATTTATTCACATTAATAGTCGATTTATTCGAACAGATTCAGTGCCTCATCAGCCACTCAGCATTCTTCAAATAGTTCATACTGTAATTAAAACATTAATTCTACTAATTACAAGATGATTATTTCCCATCATTTACTCACATTTTAATATAATACGTCAATAAATTATATTTCGCATCATTGTCACCAATTTTTATTGTTTGTTGTTGTAAATTAGACTTAGACAATGTCAATCCTGATTAAGAGTTACTCTTTTTTAATATGAAATTAAAAATTGTTTTAAATATCACTAAAAATTTTTATTTATAATGAAGTATAATTAATTTAAGAGATACTCTTATGGTATTACGATTAATTAAGTAATTTTCATTAATTTTCTACAAAATACCTCTTAATATTCTCCAGTTAATTTTTAGTGACATTGAACTTTTTAAACTTTTTCTAACAGAACATTGACTCTACTTAATTTTAAATATTTCTTTAATTGATAAAAAATGTGAATTTAAGATATTTTCGTCTATTAAGAAAGGTTAGTGTTTTAAGATACACTATATCTTTGATTTCCGTAAATAAAAAGATTTTAAAATATTATTCATGATTTTTTAAATAGGTCTTAAAATGACACTATAAAGAAATTGCAAAGTTCAAAATGTTATTAACCAGACAAGGTTTATAAGGATGCACCGATAAGCAAAATGGCCGATTAGTGTTAATAATTTATTGTGTTAATAGTTAATTATATTATGATTATTATCAAATGAAATTATATATTCTTAATAAAAATATAAAATTTCATATGATAAAAATAATTTTCAATATGAAACTACGGTAGAGCCTCGATTATCCGACCCAATTGGGGACTGGGGTTGGTCGGATAATTGAAAAGTCGGATAACCGAAAAGTATGAAAAAATCCATTAGTGTAGTATATTATATCCCATGTAATTAGTATATTAGTATATCGTTATTAACCTACTTCGCGTTGAATTTTCATCGATGTTAACAATTTTTTGCCTAACAAAAATTTTTTAAATAATAATCGTAGCTATTGTATCGTTAAAAATTAGAAAATTAAGCCTCGTTTAAATACTGGCTCCTTTTCGTGGTCGAATGAATGTGCCAGCTAAAACACGTAAAAATAATATTAAAGTAGCCAAGACATAGCCAAATATTGTAGNGAAAGAATAAATTTTATAACATTATTTAATCATCAATGCGATATTATCACTTGGTATCATCTTACAACTTTGGTTATCCTTTTTTCTATAGAGTTTACCTTAATCGCTAAATTAATAATTATTATTTTAATTAATACCCAAACCCTTCATGGCTTCCAGTATTGCTTGGAAATTTTTTTAAGAAAGATAAAAACAAGTTTTCCAAGTGCAATTTATGCCAGTCTTTTATTTCGAGAGATGGAAAAAAATGCTAAAACTTTCGCCACATGATAAATCATCTGGAAAATGTCGTCATGAAAATTTTTAAAAATAAACTTAAAAGATGAAAAGAGAAAGTTCCGAAACGAAAGAAGCTGGATGTTCATCAGTAACAATGGAAACTTATATCCAAAGACAAGCTACTTTAACTCAATTAATAGAGAAGAAAAATTGTGTAATATCAACGATCCAAAGAAGCTCATTAATTGATTGGATAAATGATAAGCGTAGATATACAACCATACTTTGTTGTATCAGATTTAGGATTTCAAAGATTACTAAAAAACTCGTTCCTAATTACAATATTCCCAGCAGAAAATATATATCTGAAAATAACATCCGTGATATATTTTAAAAAAGTTCAGTCAAAAATTCAGAAAGCTATTGATGATTCAAAATACAGTATTTCTTTAATCGCTGGTAATTGGATAGCAACTACAAATAATTTTCTTTTTTTAAATGTAACAGCTCCACTGGTTGAAGAATGATTTTCAGCAAGAACTGTTTTGCGAATTGTTCCCTTTGAAGGTTCCCACACAGCTACACGAATCATAGTTCTTGAACGGTATAAGTTGACAAAAGTCATAAGATATTCTTAGTACTTGTCACACATTTTAATCATTCTGCTGTAGCTGTATGCAAATTGGAAGATTTGCGAGACAAGTTAGGTTTGCAGAAACACAAATGAATTCAAGATGTTCCTACTCGCTAGAATTCTACTTACTACATGTTGTAAAGACACTTGGAACAGCAAAAAGCCCTTGTGCATATATGCTAAAGATAGTAAAATTCCCATGTTGAGCACATATCAGTGGTCTCTCGTTGAAAAAATTGTTCTACTTTTAAAACCATCCGAAGAAATTACTATGGAAACCAGCAACCGAGAAACCACCTCATCTTCAATAATTCACACAATAGAGACTCTGAAATTATTCTTATTATCAAAAGAGCAGTAGTTCCTTTAGTGGCATTAATACCACAATAGAAGGACTAGAAAATTCAATATAAAAAGATTTTCAGCATACGCTGAAACCGATACCGATTAATCGGAAAAATGGCCGATTACCGATTACTTACCGATTAATCGGTGCATCCTTAGACAAAACCATAACTATCCAAAATGCGTACAATTTATGCACATTGGAAATAAAATTTTATGCAAAAAATTAGCGCAGTTCACCAACTGTATGAATATTTTCATCATTTTATCCACCGAAAGTATTGGAAAGACACATAAATTGCATAGTACACTTAAAAAACAAGCTGCAACGGCACTGGGACGCATCTCGGGCGAGTATAAAACGCCCGAGATGCGTCCCATGGCACCAGCGCATGATAGTCGCAACCACGTCGCGTTGAGAGAGAATAACACCCGCAACCTTTTCTTCTTTCTCTGGATCTGCATACCAAGTCTGGGAAAAGTGAGAAACGAATTTTATCTCCTCAACATTCTGTACTGAGAACTTTTTAAAACTAAAGACGATGCAATGTGTAACAGTCTTTCCATTTTTAACCATTGAAATATCAATATTTTCAATTCCTAATGTTTATTCTTTTCCGAAAAATCCTCGAATATAAATTTATGGATTTATTTCTTTAAGAACTGTATAATTAATCATCATTAAATTATCAATGTTAATAAAATTAAGTGCTTTATCTGCTGTAAATAATAGTTCATCCATACCTGAGTTCACTTGATCGGTGTTCCTTTCTAACATTTCAATTCTTAGATTCATTGAATCTTCTTGTTTTTCATAATATCGAAACTCGAAGCCATAAACTTACATCTTTGAAATTCGTTAAGAGTGATTTTATTCTTTCCAACTTTTCTAACATCAACTTTAGTCTTGCAAAGGAAGATTCTGACCAAATTCCTGATAGGAATTCTTATTAGTTTGTGGAATGAAATAATAGTTCATTCGTTGAATTTTTGTCACTGACTCTCTCGATGACCTTTTCCCCGAATAATGGAGTAACTTGACATTCATACTTTCAACTGCACTTCTAAAGGGTGAAATACGAGTTGTCACATTTCCTTTTGAATAACGAAGTAATGGCCTCACACAATGATGGCCTTCGAGTTAGAGCAACAGGTAGTGGATCACAACAAAAATCAGTCATTTTACTTAGTTCAAAGACACTGATAAATTAATCGATAAAAAAATTCGCCAGTAAGTAGTGACTATGTACTGTAATAAAGCAACGTTTCCATTTAAAAAAATCTAACAAAAATCTTGTTTAAATTCCCGACATTTAAATTGCGAACCCACGACCAGTGATCAGGATACGAAGACCGCTTGGCCACTGGTGGGCACAGTTTTGTATGTCACTCAGCTTTCGTTTAACCGAACGATTTCTTTTGCAGTGGTTTAGTATGCTCTCATCTTCCGGTTTTGTTATTTTTATTAGATACAACTTGTCGAGACGTTTCAGTATGTCGGTCAAAGATACTAATAAGCTATTGACGTAGCCATTTCCTAACGGATACATAAGTGTTCTTCGAGAAACAACATAAACCGGAAGTGATGACATAAAATATATCCGAACAACCTACCAGAAAACACGCCTACAGTTCGTTTCGTATGAAACGAAGTAAATTATGCCATTAATTTACTTAGTCGCTTTTGATTGTCACTTAGAAGCATGCAAAATCTCTATCTAGATAATATCAAAAAGTTTTGCATTAAATGAAAATAAATCAGATGAGTCACCACTGAATTGAGAATGTTGCGTAGCTATAAAAATGCATAAGTAGGCTGCACAATTTATGCATTTTGCGTTTTTATTGTTACACAACA